TTTTTCTACAATTACTAAAATTCTTTTTGGAATTACAGGTTTTTTTTGAAATTATCAGATATTTTTTTTTCAGAATTACGTTGAATTTCTTAAAACTAACTTGGAATTACAAGAATCATTTTGGTATTACAAGAATTAAATTGTAATTATGGAATCAATCTAAGAGCAATGGAATTACGATAGATTATTGGAATTATTTGGAAGTATTTAAAATTATTTTTGGATGGTTTGCTATTACTAGAATTATTTGTAAGTACTGGAATTTTTTTTGAAATCATCATTTTATAGTTTTTTACTCATTCAGTGACAAAATGCTGAAATTTTTTGTGAAAAATATTTATGAAAATGGGAGAAATTATTTTTTATGCTTGAAATGAGAATTTTCTAATTAAAAAACCGTCTAAACCGATTGTCACTTTGACTCGGTTTTATTTCTGTATAAATTTACTTTTGCATGTTGATAGATATTCAAAAAGTTTCATCCCCGTATCGCAGTCGATTAGACAACTCCGGTGAACTAATTCCTGCAACCATGGGCGGTCTAATTTAACTTTTTCAATTAATTGAAAAACTTTACACGAGAGACCAAATTAAAATACGTGGAACGGAATCGAAAAATAAAAGCTCCACTTGATTTACGTTATTTAAACGCAAAAGATGAGATCCAAAGCGCACCGCCTTGAACCCCTTTTCGGCACAACTTCGAACAAAACGTCTTTGTTGGTTACCCTTTAATCCCCCGAATACAACACCTACAATAACCAAAATGCACCCTTTCTCGGCTAGTCAACCGGAAAAAGATCTGTCAAAACTGCAACCCTATTGTAAAATTTGCGAAATGACGTTATAAAATTTAAATAAGCGTGGGCCAGTTTTGCATTTTTCGGGGACAATGGCCGAGAAAGTGACCAGCATTTGGGTGCAGGGAGACACAGGGTGGAACTATTTCCAACAACTGAAAACACATTGTGGGCACTTGCGCAAAATTTATGATTTCCGGGTATTTGGGACGGGATGTTGAATTTTGCCAACATTTTTGACCGAAGTGTTCCAAGAAAAATGCCGAGATTTTAATTTTCTCATTAGTTTACTTTAAATGTTGTGGTT